TTTGCAGGGTGAAGATGAAGGGAGGTTCATCGTTGCTGATATTTAACTTCTGGAGAGTCTGAGAAGAATGAAGCGCAAATGATGGAGGTGAGAGGAACTGTCTTTCCCATCTGCCCAGCAACAAGAAATCCAGGGCTCCCACACTTGCTAAGACTTACCTTTTCGTGTTGGTTGTTCTCCCAGTACTCGACTTGGTACCTCTGTTTTATGAAGCCATATTGCAAAGTGTGTTTTATCCACCTCAGTTCATACTCTTGGTTCTCTGTCACTGTTACTGACACGTTTGTAGGCGGCAGCACCTTAACTGGAACACACGGAATGTCTCGGTGTACTTCTCAACATACTGGTCCAGCACCCCCTTTCCCCGCTGTGAATAGTTTCCAGAGACTGAAAGCAATGTTGTTTTACACAATGTAAGAAGCCTCCGCTTTTTAGCACTTCTTAATTCCCTGCCCCTTTATTTTCTAGTCAAATTCAATAAACCAGTAGACACAGTAAGTAACAGAAAAACCATATACATCAATATTGGCAGCATTCCTTGTGTACAGAAAAGCACTAAAGCAATATTTGAAACAGCTGTACTGGTCCACCTAATTTCCAGAGATTTTCAGCTCTCTTGGATCTACTACCCAATATTTGCACCCACTGCAGGAGCTCTCCCGGCTTTAGTCTGTGAAGAGCAGCACCAGTACCTCCAGATACATAGAATCATAGAATCTTTGGGTTGGAAGAGACCTTTAAAGGTCATCTAGCCCAACGCCCCTTCAATGAGCAGGGACATCTTCAACTAGATCTGGTTGCTCAGAGCCCCGTCCAACCCGACCTGGAATGTTTCCAGGGATGAGGCATCTACCACCTGTCTGGGCAACCTGGGCCAGTGTTTGACCACCCTCATTGTGAAAAATTTCTTCCTTCTATCTACTCTAAACCTAGTCTCTTTTAATTTAAAACAATTACCCTTTGTCCTATCGCAACAGGCACTGCTGAAAAGTCTGTCCCCATCTTTCTTATAAGCCCCCTTTAAGTACTGTAAGACTGCAATACATGCAGGCAGAGATGATCCACCTAGCACACCTCACTCAGCAGAGGAGTCCTACCTCATCCAGTGCTCCAGGGGCCACTGCACAAACCTGCAAAAGCTCCATTGGCTCTTGAGAAGTCACATAGTGACACACTCCCCACAAACACCTCTCACCACAGCTCTTTACAGCTGTGTCACCCATGAAGGTCAATCACAGAGAAGTCAGCATGGTGACAAGTCACTCACTGAAGAGCTCTGGGTCACAACCCAAATGTCTGCACAGCAGTTTCCATCACTACCACCTTCCTCAGAGGAACAAGTGCCACCAAGGAACTCCACACCTCCAAGCCACCTCTCCCAGACCTCTGACCTGACACAGTGTGCAGTTGCTTTCTTCATCAGTCTCACTCTCTTCCTCTTCTCACACACTTTTCCTCACCACCGCTGGCCTCAGCCCCACTTGCCCAGCCAGCCACCTCTCCAGGAAACAACCCGGAGAAGCAAGAAACAACACAGCAACTCACTGTTCTTGTAGGCTTCGATCTGTTTCTCCTCCGTCTTGGCCCGGACAGACACGCGGTACTGGCTCTGACGGCTGGAGTTGCTAACAGGGATCTCACAGCTCTGGACCACATATGGGATGTGGGACAAAGCCTTCTCGTGCACAGGGGAGCACTCCTCTTCTCTGAGGGGAGAAAAACAGGGTCACCTGAGATCAGGGGGAACGGGACAGAGCAGAAAGTCCATGCGAGAGGCACAGGCATGCTGCCACGGGCAGAGCACGTACGCTGATGCTGGAGTGGCCCTGAAGAACAAGCCGAAGAGGACAGAGGTGGTGATGGCTTTCTTCACTTCCCAGCTGCACGTCAGATGATCTGCACCATTGAAGAGGCAGCGAAGGTTCCTGGGCTGAAGGCCACCTTCAGAGAAGATGAGAGCAAGCTGAGTGACAGGAAAGCTCTGGCTTCTCAGCCAGCGCTTCCACCCCTGCACGGCCCCGCTCCATCCCATGCTACCTTCAGGGGTCTCCCATGACACCTCCGTGCTCCACTCGCTGTACTGCCCAGAGAAGCCACTGTCCTGCCCCGGTCTGGCTCGCACACGGGCAATGTAGCTGCTCCCTGGGACAAGGTCCTTGTGGCTGAGATGGCAACGTGTGGTGTTGGAGAGCAAGACTGAGGCAGCTTTCTGTTGTTGTGGGAAAGGAGGGAGAGAGGGCAGGGAGGATATTGGGGAGTTGGGTAATGGAGAAGAGGGGTAGAGGGGAGACAAGGTAGGAGTTCAGAGGAGGTGACTGTCAGGCTGCATCTCCCAGCAGTCCCACACACATGGGGTCCATGCCCACGGTGTCGTGCAGTGCTCCTTGCTCTCATACCAGAGGGGCTTCAGCGTGCATGCTGCCAGCGTGGCACAGGCAGGGTGAGGCACAGGCACCGTCGGGCACAATCTACCCCAGCGGGTGGGCCAGCTCCTGCAGCTTGCAGAGCCCCAGTTGTCTTCAGCACCAACTACACAAGTTCCCAACATTGCTCAGTGCAGAATTGTGTGGGAATCTGGACAAGATACTTCTCTTAAAAACTAAAGATCAGCCTGACAGGTACAGAACAGAAACATACGCAGGTGTAGAAAAAACCCAAAACATAACCTTCTGGAAGGGGAAGAAGCTTCAAATGTATTTTGCTATTTTTCCACGTGAACCCACAAACTCCTGTTGGAATGTGTTTCAGTTGCATTTGGGAGGGAATCAGGGCAAAATCAATTCCAACTCAAAACCAAGTGCAGTGCTTTTTTCAGTGAAGGACAGATCTTTGCATTCAGGTCAGGACAAATGGTATTTCACTGGGCAAGTTACTTGCAAGCAGAAAGAGAGCCCCTTCCGCCTGACCTGAAACAACATGTGTTGCGTAGCCTCATAGTGCCTGGGAACGGAAAGGCCATTCATTTGCACAACGTTTACCTCAGGCTCTCAACCACCCAAAAGGCTGCAGCCCAAACCAGGACAGCCCAGTTCCTCCGCTCTTACCTCCCAGGACTCCCACTCCCGCTTGTAGGTGACTTCGTACTCCAGTGCATTGCCCAGCCCTTGGCTTCCATCAGCTGCTTTCCAGGTCAGCAAGAAGTCTCCTGACCTCTTCAAGCTGACTGAGAGATTTTGAGGTGGGAGGGTCTGAACTGGAAGGTGAAGGTACAACCCATGAGAGGAGATAGTGAGGACAGGGACATGAAGAGGGGAACAAAATGCCTCGGTAAGCTCCCCCATCTCCAGAGTATCTTATCCCTGCCACACCATGCTACTGTTCCTGCTTGAGTCCCTCTTCCAGGTCCAGCTGCTCCCAGAAACTTGCCCTCTCCCCTCCCTGCCCCATCCTGTCAATGTGGAACTCCCTGGCATTTTTCTCGAGGTGGAATTCACTTCCTGAGTGAATGGTAAATACATTCTCAAAGATCCCTAATATTCATTGGAAAATGAGAATTTGGTGTTTAATCCTTACCATTTTGGAAAAGATCAACATTTAATTCTGCTTGAAGCGTCTTGTTAGGTTTGAAGCTGTAAATATCATCTACACCTATTCCAAAATTGTTTGTATTTTTGTGACAAACCCAGTGCACATAGGAGTCTGGAGCCTCATGCAAGTCATTTTCTGTCTGGCGTTTGCAAAACATCTCCATGTTCTCCCTGTGTATAGAGAAAATAATCTATAAAGATTGGACTTAGACACCTATTGTTAATGCAAAATTAAATGCCTGAAACCATTTATAACAACTCTGTTGTTATAATTTATTCGGGCACTTATATCCTGTTCTCACTGTACCTATTAGCCCTGTTTTGCACAAGTTAATATGACAAACAATTTTAACACCAGGATTTTTGTCAAATGCCTTCCCATTTCTAAGTTTTGCAGCAGAATGTTATATTTTGGTACCAGTTTATTTTTGTTAGTTTTTAGCCTAACTATGTAATCTCATATTTTTTGTGTGAGAAATAGTATGATGAAAAATAATGTCATGGAAATGCACCTTGTACTCAGAGTGGAAGGCAGTAAAGTTTCTGATGATCCTTAGCTTCTTGAAGATATTAATTTTGCAGACCCAGAAAGACATATAAAAAAAAAATTCTCCAACCAAAATGTATTTCTGTATCCTTAGTAGTTCTGTCAGGGGACCTTAGGTATTCATTAAAGATTTCATCCAGAATGTTAATCATCCTTTTAGATAGCCTTTCTCCAGGCCAAGGAATATAATGAAGATTAGAAACAATATTTTAAACTAGACAGGAGAGGATAAGCTTTGTGTGCCTGCAGTAGCCTGAGCGGCTGGAGAGATGTGTTGCTTCTTTTTGTATCCTCTGGAATTGTTTTTGTGCTTATGGCTTCATGCCAGTATATTCCATTGTTCCCGTTCAGATGAGAAATATTAAGTTGTGAATATCTAAGGCCAGATACTGTCTTCCAGGATACGATGGCATCTCCTAGCCAACTATATGTCAGGAAGCATTATTCAGCACTACTGCTATTTTTAAAAATTGGGTATTAGCAAGGAAACCAGGGATATTCCTGAAGTATGGGTAGGACTGACCATACGTGTGCTTAAACAAAAGAGTCAGCCCAAGGGTTGTGAAGTCCTTAAGATATTTCTTTCTATTTATCATCATTACCTTACAGTTTGGAATTTAGTTAACTATTCTTCATCTATGAGCTGACCTTTTTTAATCGTTGGCCATTTCGATTTCAGCTGTGTGGCTGTCCACACTTAATACCTGCTTGTCTGATTAGTTCACTCAGTCATGTTTCCCGTGTGATCACACACTCCATCATGTAACAATGTTCTAGAGAACCCTCCAAAGGTCCAAGTAATTTTATACGATCTTTTCCCAGAAGTATTAGCTTCAAGGTCCTGTTCCAAAGACCTTCCACTGATTTTAGGTCTATTAATTCCCTTCTTTACAATATAATCAGGAGTTCTTCCTCTTTCCTTCCTGCACCCCCAGACTCTAATTAATTTTCTTCTCAGCTTTCCATCTTTGTTTTCCTCTCTTTCTTGACTATTCCTCCCCCTCTGTCCTTTCTTATCCCCACAATTGATCCAGTCTGGTGATTCAGTTCCCTTTTCATAAGGAAACAGATGTGACAGAGATACTGTCACAAACAGACCAGTATCTCTGGGAGGAAAAGTGATAGCACAGATGAAGTTAACAGTCTTCTGTATCTCACAAACACACAGTCCATACATGTTTCTCAGAAGTGATCAAAATCATACTCTCAGTGATGCTCCTAAATGGGCAAAATAACAGTGGGAATGTCTCCTCCCTTTTGCATTTATAAAGAACACTCAGGTTCAAACTTGTTCTGACACCATCTTCTCCACCCCATTAATAGCAAACTATATGCCCCATCTTATTTCATATCTATGATCCCGCAACAAAATTATGGGAAAATAATTGTAAAGGTGATAAAAATAACTCCACTAGCACACTCTATTCATTCCTCCCTTCCTAGAAGAAGCCTCAAAAGCAGGCACAACATTTACTTTAACCCAATGACAGAAAGAGGTGGCCGTGCTTTCTGAAAACCTGACTGCTGATCCACAGGATTTCAAGTTGTGGCCAAGTTCCCTTTGGACTTTTATCTAGCACAGCACATTTCAGGTACTTACATTATATTATCCCTTTGGTAAAGAATCATACCAACGAGGGCATGAGCCTCTGAATGCTCCATCCATGTGCAGGTCACCTGTGAGCTGTAGTCGTTGTAGCAGCTCAAGCTCTTCATAGGGATACTCTCTGAGAAAGGAATTCAGGCAAAAAGATAGTCATTACAAATGTAAATAACAAGAGATAGCAGGAGATACAGTGATTTTGCCAGCAGGATGGGGAAGGCACTGATAACAGTACTCTCCTCATGACACCAGAAGATGACTCTTGGTGAAAATATGTACAGTATTGTGGCCATTCTGCACATCTCCACAATACACAAGTGTCCAAACCAAGCTACAAGTAACAACAATTTTGTAAGAACTTTGTGCCTGTAAGGCAGATAACCCTAGCCAAGTTATCACTTTTCAAACACATTTTTTCCAGGGACTAGTAGATACCATGGGTCAGCAGGCATATGGTGATCATTTCATCTTTGTGTGTTGCTGTATGTGACTTCTATACCACAAACCTCCTAGTAAAGGTTATGACACTAGAAAGGTGTATGTAAAAGTGAGATGCTCTTGGAGTAATCTTGTTATAACTCAGAATAATGCTCAAACTAATTTGTTGGAACTAGATTTATGACCCAGAAATGGCCAGACCTCTTGTCAGGGATAACTTGGTTTTTTTAAACTCACAATTGTGAAATGGAAAAATACAGGCCACCCCTGGTACAAGCAAGTTGCTTTCTTCTCCTTCTTTATTTTCTTTGAAGCTAGTATCTGTGCCACACTACTGGCATATGATCTCCAGATGACAGAGATGTCTGTGGATAAACATGAGTGTGCTCTCTCAAATAATTTTTCTTGATGAGAACTACCATCAGCTTGGCTGAGGGGCTTTTTACAGCCAAAAACCGTCAGAAAAATATGATGGTGTCTTAGCTAGCAAGCATAAGAAGGACCTTACTTTGATCTTCCACTGAAAAGCAGTGCAAATAAGTTCTACGAAAACAACCAGAAAATGGAGCATCCTACGTAGAAAGGGATGGTCTGAATGTAAGGCTAAGGCTCAGAATACCAAGAGACCAGTATGACCTACATTGTAATACATTCTCCCTCAGAGATGTCAAAGGGTGATGTGCTGCAATTGACACTGGGCCAAGCAACATAACTCCCCCAGCTACTGCGGACATCAGGCATTGGCATTTGTCTTGGAAATAGATGTCCATGAGGCAGACCTTATGACAACACTTTTATTCTGATATGTTTAGGATGGGTACAGGCTAAGTCTTGATGCAGACATGGTGCACTCAGTGATCCAAGGAGATATTTCCCATTCCCAGCTCTGCTAAATAAAATTAGAAGGGAAGAGGAAGGGAAGAGGAAGGGAAGAGGAAGGGAAGGGGAAGGGAAGGGGAAGGGAGGGGGAAGGGAGGAGGAGGAAGGGAAGGGAAGGGAAGGGAAGGGAAGGGAAGGGAAGGGAAGGGAAGGGAAGGGAAGGGAAGGGAAGGGAAGGGAAGGGAAGGGAAGGGAAGGGAAGGGAAGGGAAGGGAAGGGAAGGGAAGGGAAGGGAAGGGAAGGGAAGGGAAGGGAAGGGAAGGGAAGGGAAGGGAAGGGAAGGGAAGGGAAGGGAAGGGAAGGGAAGGGAAGGGAAGGGAAGGGAAGGGAAGGGAAGGGAAGGGAAGGGAAGGGAAGGGAAGGGAAGGGAAGGGAAGGGAAGGGAAGGGAAGGGAAGGGAAGGGAAGGGAAGGGAAGGGAAGGGAAGGGAAGGGAAGGGAAGGGAAGGGAAGGGAAGGGAAGGGAAGGGAAGGGAAGGGAAGGGAAGGGAAGGGAGAAATAAAAAGTAGCTTTCATTGCACCAGAAGAGGAAAGACATTAAACTCAGAAACACAAGCAATGGATATTGAAGATGGTCTCTTTATCTGTCAGCAATTCCACAAGAAGAAAATCAAGTCATCTGGATGTTGCTGTTGGTAGCTTCCCTCCCCCCCACCCCGTCTTGTGTCTGTCCACTTGTGTCTACTCCTGTGCACTACCATCTGAATCATGCATGCAGCCCTTCATTTTCCTATGTTTTCACTATCAGGGTCTATTCCTTCACTCATTAACCAGTCAACTGGTTAATCTCATCCACTTGTCCAGTATTTCACCTGTCTAGACCTACAACTTACTTGTCTGCACATGTATCTGCTAGATGCTGGTTTTGATCAAGATACCTGTTCTCCTGCAGCATAGAAGATGGTGGCAGAAGGAAGCAGAAAAACAAGGATAAAACGAGGAAGAGCATTAGGTGAAACAAGGGAACAGATACAAAAAAAAGGCAATAATGGAAGGATAAAAGAGAATATAAATTTGAAACTCACCTCGAATGGCTTGGACACTGAAGACCAAATACAGATTCAGCAGAAGGATTAAAATCTCTTTCATGATCATGCTGTCCTTTGAGTACAAGTTTGGTTCTAATTCAGAAGATAATCGTTTTCATTACCCACTGGCTACTCTCTTGCTCTGCTTATTGTAGAGCTTCTTGTTTTCATTTCACATAAAGAGAAGTAAAACTGAATTAGGGAACTTCTTTAGGCTTTGTGTTGGAGTGACATTCAGAAAGAACTTCTACCAAGTATTTATCGTAGGACAAAATCCATGTCTTCTTATTGCGTGAGCTTGCAATATGAGCAAAGAATGAAGAAGTAAATGCGCATTTCCAAGGAAGTGAAGTGATTCTTTCAGCTGAGCAGCAACAAGAAACAATCCTAATCTGGGAAGAGAACTCAGCCTCCAAATTCATCCTTCTGCTCTTCATGCTTAAAGCCTTCCTAATGAACCCCAATGGGGGTTGCAAATTGTAGAAATAATACCAAAGAAACGATTTATCTTTTTTGTGTGTGTGTGATTTCTGAGATTAAGAGTAGATTGAGTGGTCCAAAGACCACGGACCACATTGTTCAATGCTGGAATTCAAGTCCTTTTGGCCGTCTCTCATTGCTCTCTCAAAAGTATGATAAACTCACCTACTCAAGTATGTTACAGAGCTGAGACTCTTTTCTAATTTAGGCAAGCATGGAAAAAGTCTCCTTTTAAATTCCTATTGACTTTCAAATTCCTGAATGCCACTTCCTTGCACCAGAAACAGACAACTGAGCCCTTGAATAATGATCACAGCTAAGAAATCCCTTAATGACTCACAAGGTCTTGTATGAGAGCAGACTCTGCCATTTTGCTTTCCCCAGAGAGGAAGCAGTTCCCTTACCTGGATCCAGAGCTGTCTGTGAGGCAGGTGACGATTCAACCTGACGCGTGACTCTCCCTGTCCAGCCTCCCCCCACAGCATCAGAATCCTCTGATGCAGAAACCAGCAAAACCACGCTTCCCTAGAACGGGAGACATGGTGGTATAAACAGGCCACAGGCAAGTAAGTCTTCAAAATAACTGCTCTTTTATGCACCTCAAATGCCACTTTCAAAGCAGCAGACCACGCCCTTTCAAGGCAAGTCTGTGCAGTTGCCTGTAAAATAGGAAGTTTGCACTTCCTATTTTAGCCCCCAAAGCACTGACTTACATGGGACTGTTTAACTGGGAAGGGAGGGGAAGGAAGTTTGTCATTGCCAATCTGCATGTTAACAATTACCAGATCATGGGACTAATGTATTTTCAGAAGAAAGAGAATTGAGTGCAGCAGAAGTGAGAAAGAATAAGAAAGAATTATCTATTTTTTACTCCAGTGCTGTTTCTTGCTTTACCTTAGGCTAGACAATCTTCAAGGCAGGGATCATTGTGTGCTTTATGTTTATTTGTGCATATATATTGGGGCAGGCAGGGGAGAGAACAACCTTTATCTCTCTCTTTAATTTACATAATGTTTTTAAAGTAAGTTTTACTGATTTCAACAACAATTAATAATAAATTGTAAGTATTATAGTACCTAGAAGAAGCAAAAGAAAACTGGCGAGACAAGTTGATCTGAAGTTATCCTGCATCCAAGGCAGCCACACTGTTTTCAGTCCAGCTTTAAAACTTAGCCCAATAGCCTGCAATAATAAGATCTTTCCTAAAGTTAGGAAGCCATAAGGGAAAGACACACTCAGGTTGGCACTCTCAGGAATAAACTACAAGGGGGGCTAAGATGGGACCCCAGATGCAGCATATAACTGCCAGAGTCTGTCTGTCCTGCACTGCTACACTACACCTTTTAGAAATCCCTGTCGTACTGACCACAACCACAGTTAGCACAGTTAGGTTCTTGCAAGAACTACATCAATATTCAAGAAAAAATTGTATACTGTGACTACGGGAAACGTGTGCAGAGCAGGAAAGAGAATAAGGGGAGTATCTCAGGAAGTTGTGTGTCATTAGGACTATCAGGAGGTGTGCATATAAAACTTGCAGGCAAGGGGGGGAATATGTGACTTTGCTGGACAGGCAGAATTTACTTTGCATTACAGTATAAAGGCAGAAAGGAATTCACCTGCTCTGGTTGTCAGATGCCAGTAAGTTTATGTATGTTCTTCCCCCACCCTTAGAAAAGATGTTTATTTCCCAGCAGACATTTTCCCTCCCTTCCTCACTCAAACAGCTCCTCCACCTTCCTACAGACTTGCTGAGTTGCTGGTTACATCACAGGATCTAACCCCCAACGAAAATCTTCAGACGGTGCTTGCTCTCTCGAGCTCCAGGAACGGGTAGCAGGTAAACCTGCGCACCAGAAGTGCTGCAGGCCGTGCATGCCAATTAGGTCTTGCGCTTACAATGTGTTCTCTTACGTATCGCAAGGTGTAAAATTACCAACATTACTATTGTATATTGCTTCATCTCCTTCCTAAACTGCATTGCTACAATGCCTTCGAAGTGGGAAGTTAAGTTTTGTAGCATTTTAGTAAAATAATGTCAACTAAAATTTTCCATCACTGGAAAAAAGGAAGATATAATCTGTGTCTTCTGAATATACATTATCTACCACTGAAATTTAATGTGCATGGATTCTTCAGGTGGAACCTTTGCACCTGGTAAGCGGATATGGCCTGTAGTACACCTTATAACTCTCTGGAGAGTGCATTTTCTTACACAAGGCTGCACAGGATTGGTATACTGCTAGAACTATGCACTTAATAAAGTGTCAAGTACAAAATGATTTATGGATCCCAATATAGCAAATGATATGCTTATCTTGAAATACAAACAGTTTCCTTTATTTCCAACATACTTATATGCATAAATGCAGGGCTACAGATAATAGAATATGAAAGTTTATGTATATATATGTGTATGTATACACATCGAGAAGAAAAAAAAACAGTTTGAGGGATAAGTCACCTTAAATACTTCTGTTGTTGTTGAAGATCTTGTTACCTGGTAACATTACAGGCAACATCTAAGAAAAAGAAAAGACATTCTTTTGCCAGTTATGTAAAACATACATAACTTGTAATTCTTACAAGCAGCACTAAATTTGTTCAAGATGAAAATATTTTGATTGCATGACCATTAAAGAAATTATTGCAAGATATAGGTTTTTTTCAGTAGTGAACTCCTCCTTAAGGAAAGCTGAATAGGTAACATCCAAACTTTTCTTCAAAATTCGCTCACTTTCAAGCAAAAACCAGGAGCACAATTATTTCATCCCCCCCCAAAAAAAGATTTTGAATAGAAACTGATAAAAGAAATTCATATATAACTTTATTTGTTGAAGAATCTGATACAGTAGTTTCTTGTTAGTTCTAATTTGCAGTGAGGTGTCAGACAGCAGAAGATAGACAGAGAAGAAATTGCTATTGAGTAGGCATCACACAAATTTTCCCAGAATGCAGAAATAAGTAGTCTGTACAATTACAAAAAGGTCTACGAGGAACACCACAGGTATACTAGGTTTGATTCACAGAATTCAAAATATTGGTCAGTGGAAGGAAGAAAGCAAAGGTGGCTGCAATTTCTTCACTGAAATGTGAAAAAGTTTTATTGGTGCTTCCAGAACGAACTCTGAATGCCCAGTCAGACTCCCATATGACAGAAATAATTACGCATTCATAAGCACTGGCACACAAACCTTCACATCAGCAAGTGAAGAGAGAATTATGGCAGTCTAGAAAAAAGCTTATGGAGACATTCTGGACAAATAATTACCCCTGGGAGCAAGGACAGAGATTAGAGCAGGTCTTGGGGCTCAGGACACTAAACCTCTATTGCAGAGACCTCTGACTTGCTTTGTAAATACAGCCAGTGATCTTATTTCTCTATTCCACACTTTCTCTGGTGTCTATGTAGATGTGTCTACTACAGAGAAGTGCTAAAAAGCTGAAGAAGCTAACTCAGTGCAGATTTTATGCTGAAAGGTAATACGTTACTAAAAATTACTCTTTTGAAGCTCACTTCAAAGGCTTGTTAAAGGACACTGTCTGCATAGAGGCATTACAGAAGGACTCTATAGCTACCTACTGGCACATCTCTATGTAGCACTTACGATGTTCTTACTGTTTGAGTAGCACCTATTCCTGGACTAGTGTTGTAGACACCCAAGTCATCTTTGTGAGTGATGTGCAACTTCCAAGGGAAGAAATGCTTCTCAGAGTGCTTTCTCCTGCTCTGAGACACCATGAGTTCAACATCCTGGTTGGAGAGCAACCGGATCAGATCACCGTGAGGGTCCCGGTAATTCAGAACAATGTCATCTTGGTCAAACTCCCGCCTGGTGGAAAAGAAATGGATTGATCCCCAGAAATCAACGAATGCCTGGGAGCTGCTGCATGATGAACAATATACTGGCAATCTAATTGGTTCTGCTAAAAGCCACACAAAACCTTGTATGTCTTGGCATTCTTGGTACAATTAGTACTAGAAATCATACAGACACATTCATGCCATGTTTTGTTTATGCTATGAAACCTGTCAGAACCGAGAACCATTTCCAGTAACACCACCACATGCATGGCACAATTAATCTGTGAGTTTAATAAAATTCCCATACATAAGTGTTGTAACTACCCACTCTTGTCTATTTGTGGTTGCTTTTTTCATGGCAGTGGGGACAGGTTAAGGAATGGAAGAATATGAGCACAGGTGTTTGAAATATTACAAATATGTGATGTTCTAATGTTTTTATGCTCAACACTAGATTAATCTAGTTTAACACTAATTTAACAGGTGTTAGAAGGTGGTGCCCTGCATCCTGAAGAAGTATATTAGACAAAAGGTCCTTGCATGGGGGTACAGCGCTGGTCTTACAACAAGAAATGGAAACTTCTACCCAGCATAACTGAATCAGAAGTGTGTGGCATTCCATATTTACTGACAATCCCAAGGCAGACTAGTGTCTGCACAGATGGCCCTGGGCCAAGGCAAAGTACAACTTCTTCAGGACACTTGAAAAGTATTTCACACCCAAAACATGGTGATGACCAAGTAGAATGGGGAAAATCTAGGATTGGAAGGAATTTGACAAATGTTTAAATTATATTAAACATACAACTAACTGCTTGCATTGTACCTCATCAATTCCATGAGATCTTTGAATGATGGAATGCTGCTCAGATCCTCTTCCACTAAGATATCCCTGTAACAAGAACAAATCTAATCATTACATGTCATGAAAAGAGAATTGTCAGCATTTCTTGAGCAGTAAACTGGAAGACTATTTTCTTATTACCTGATAGTGCTCACAGTCTCGTCATGGTAATAACAGCGAACTTTATTAACTATTGCTTCCTGCTGTGGTAAATCTTTTATGATCTTCACAAAGGCACATGGGAAAATCCCAGTGGCATCATCAGCTGTTCCCTGCCATGATAGCAAGTGTTAGAATGAAGAAAACCATGCAATTTTGCCCACAGACAATAAGATCTGGAATTCAATTAATTTCCATGGAAACAACAGTAAGAATTTTTCTACTATAATCAAGAAAAGGAAGGCTATGGAAGTGATCTGATGGCACCCCTGCAAAAAGATTGTACAATTGCATAGTCAAATACAAGGCGGGGGAGTGAAACAGTGTGTAAAAAATTGAAGTCAGATGGCCACCAAGGAAAGCTGTGGTGTTTGTGCAAGCAGAGATACGATATCAGCAAACACACAGTATGTTCTCCTCATCCTTTTTCGGAACACTGCTGCATTGCCCAAGTTCTCTCTAATCAGGCTGACGTGTGTTGTGGTATGAAGCATGAAGTATGTATCAACTCACCCTGAGGCAAGAAACCAATTAATCACTGAAACGGAGTTTCCATCTCCTTTCTGTGGCCTTTTTGTGTTCTAATCACTTCCAAAGAATTTAAAAACATTCCAGCAGAAGCAAATGCAAATGAAAACTGAAGTCTAGAGGGCAGAAAATTTGTAAGCTGAAAACCATCAAGGAAGGAAACGATTTCAAATTTGGAGTCAAGGATTTATTCTTAACAGTAAGACCTGATTATGATACAGTGTCTCCTTGAAAGGAGGAGAGAAGAGTCCCAAGGACTAGGAGAGTCCTTTCTACTCATGTATTTCAAGGTTTTCTAATAATTCAGTAACCACTATTGCAGTCTTACCTCCAACCAGTCTTTGTTTACTCTGCTGAGTAGATAGATCAAGTCTCCCTTCTTGAAGCTGAGTTCCAGTTTATTGGTTCCAGAAAAATCAAACAGTGCCTATGGAAAGTAATAACACTGAAATTATTAATTCACAGAATTACAAAAGTCAATCTTTCTTTCTGTTCTGTTCTTGGAGTGAGAGGATAAAGCAGCACAATAGTATGCACTTTGTCATCACATAAGTATTTCTAAGGTATGGTCATAGAAATGACCATAGTCTACGGTTCTCACGATTTCTTCTCCTACTCAGCATGCACAGAAATGCTTTGAAGAAGTAGTGAAAGCACTAGGATAAACAGGGCTCCGAGAGGGCTACATGCTAACGTTCTTAAAGTGGCAGGACACTGAGCACCAGAGAAATAAACATAAAGAAGTTGAAAACACTTAAGAGCAAGTAAGTCAACAGAGCTGAAGACAACTGACAACTTGAAAACCTGAAATCCTGAGAATTGAAAAAATACATATTATTTCTTGTTGCAGTTTTACAGCTTTCAGATTTGCTGCAAAATGTCACAAAGAGCCTTAAAAAATTGCAGAAGTGTTGTGTGCAAATTTAAGGGTAACTAACTGTTGTTTTTACATTTAGCTTTCAGGCCTGTATGCTGAATTGAGAGGAAAAAAGGGAGGTAACCACATAACTACCACCCCGACAAGCTGTTCTTGAATAATTAAAGTGGCAGAGTTATCAAAAATGCACATCTTCCCCATTGTCCTTAGAGAACATGGTAGCCATTTAAATGCTCTTATAAGAGTGAAAATGAAAACTTGTTCTTTAATTCTCTGTTGAGATGGTTCTTTCTTGTTAATGCCAAGAGTTCTCCTAATAAAAAAAAGACAATGGCTACTGTTGTGCTAGTAGTTCATATGTCTACTAAATAGCTCTTTCAAAAGCCTTTATTCATCTATTGAAAAGTGTTGGTAGGTATACTCAATATTAATAAATTAATAGATAAAACCCAAGAGATATGACTGATCCAAGATCTGCCATACTCAGTATAAAAAAACAAAACCAGCAAACCTCAAAGCATTTGCATGTTTGTTTGTTTTTTTAATTTTACATGGCAAAGTCACATCTTCCAAGAAGCAAGACCGTACTCAGACAAGTACTGGTTACGAAGCAGTTCCATGTGCTTAATACGAAGACAATATACAGCAAAAGGCAAGGGTATAGGCACTTTTCAGCAGAACACTTACGTTACAGAAAGAAAATGGCCTCACCTGCAGAGCTTTCAAATATATGCTGAAGTCAATGAGACTGAATCTTGTGCTTGTTTTAAATTTATGGGTATCACTATGTAAATGTGGACCATCTGCCAGTAAGCTGTACATGTCTCAATTTTGAAGTCCTGTCATTCTGACTTCACAATGGACCTTCTTATTGCTCAAGTAAGGAGGAACAGAACACTTCTTTCCATCCTTTGTTTCATTCCGTGTTGTTAAAATCAATTGCTTTCCTGTGCTGATTTCAATTTCCCTTCTTTCCCCAAGCTCTAATCAGAAAAGGCAACTTGATTGATGAAATACCGAAGTAAAATGGAGTTAAATCTCCTATCCTATGACAGATTGTGCAGAGTACTCACCTCAGCCCGTGGAGTTGCCACACGGTCAAAAATAGGCAATTGAGGTGAAATGCTTTTACTGCAAAGAAAGGAGAGAACAGGGAAGTAAAGATGTCTTTCTAGTCATCAAAACTACTACACAATCAGTAGTACAGTATCTGCATTTTCATTATTTAAGAGGCAAGCAAGCCATAGATCACTGGAGAAACTGCATGAGAATCTATGTGCAGCACTGAAGTAAATTAGTATGGATGCAACAACATTGCCCTGGTTCTCCTGGTTTCAGTGCAGAGCAGCCACAATCTCATGATGTCTGCTGTGGAGAACAGATGGAATTTGCAATACAGTCAGTATCCTGGACCTGTCTTCCACAGCACTGCTCATCCCCCCTACTCTGCCTTCTGAGCATCCCTGTTTCTAGCATTTATAACATTCAGTTCAAACTCAGCCATCATACACTCATCCAGGAATGCACACACACATGCAGTTTTTGCACTGTTTGAGGTAAGTGAAAAGGAAGCAGGTCCTTCTTTGCTATGTTGAAAGGAGAATTAATTTGTCTAAAGGATAATAAAGTATGACGTCTATTTAGCAGTTCTCCAAAGGGGTGTCAAGGCTGCTATGTAGGACAGGCCCCTGTTTAGACAAAGGACAGGAACAGATTAAGTATTCAGGTTCATTTAGTGCTTGAACCAGATCTCACTGACTTCAGTGCCAAAACTCACACTGACTGCAATGGTGCAAGCCTACATCCTTAAGCATGGCCTGTATATTCTGCTCATTATAATAGATATTACCATTCAAGAATTATCAATTATCAGATAGAGCTGAGCAGCATTTTTTTAAAAGCAAGCTATACTCCTATTTTGGAATTTTCCTTTAATGCAAGTACCACATCCACTTCAAAAATTTGAGATTACTGAAAACAAGAAATACCCTGTGTTCACTCTACCACAAAGATCCTCATATTAGGACTTCATGGATTCATTTCAGAAACACAGTGGTGATCCTCATCTCTCCCCCCAAAACTGGACAGCATCTCTTGTATCAAGCAATGCTGAAAAAACATGTAAATCACTTACACTCGGCGCGTCCGTGGGCGAAGCCGTCTCAGCCTGTGAGGCACCTGCTCACTATCAAAGGTTGAGTGGTAGAAGAACAGTCGTACCTCTTCATCCATCAACACCCAAACGGGTAGGCAGAGTAGGTTCTGTGCCAAGAGCAAGTAGGAAGCAGAGTGTAACAGTGGGAGAGACCAATTCTGTATTTATTTACGTGTAACAAATATGCCTCTCTGACCTACAGGATCATGAAGGATATTCATTACTGCCAGAAATCTCCCTCCTCTCCCTTCTCACTCAGCAGGACACGGCTGAACAGCTGACAGTTTCTCCTGTTTACTCCTGCAGTTGGCCAATGTACCGCTTCGCTCTTTTTGTGCCTGATTTACTGCAGAAGGAGTAAGTTGCTCTTTGTGTTTCACCTCAGAACATGAGTGACTGTGGACAGAAGGCAATCTTAAGTACTGAAAGTCTTGGCCAGTGCTTCAGACTTCTACTGATTTGAAGTCAGGCCTTCAGTTAACCTGCATACAAAGAATTTCTCTCCCTGATGTTACTGGCCGTACCTTCACTGTAGAGCAGGTACACCCAGAAGCCCACCGCCCTCTCTCAGTCCCTTAGGTGCACGTACCAACTCCATATTCACGCAACACCTGGAGATTCACCCTTTCCTCATACGCCTTGGGTTTGTTTGGGTTTTGGTTGGTTTTTTTTTTGTAAGGATATCTATCTATATATGAAGGTAGGGAGTAAGCCTTTGTGAACTGTGTACCCCAGCAGATCCTACAGTCTGAACAATCTGGGGAATAGGACAGCAGGTTGTCCCACAGTGTGGACACTGTGTCTTCAGGAAAAACAATATAGAGAGAAGCAGACACCTAGGATTACAACAGTACTGTCTCTCTCAGCTGATTCCAAGGGGTAAGTACCTGCAGTGCTCAGTGTAATCTCTAACTTAAAATTAAGTTTTACCTTCATGTAGACATTTAGGATAGGAATTCTGTTCTCAGCAATTTCTTTTTTGGACCCAACATAAACTTTTCCTGAAAAATATAAAACCTGTGACAGTTATTGAAGAAAAAAAAGAGGAGGCTGTCAGAGAAATGAAGCAACCAGGAGAAAGCAGAGTCTCCAAGAAAATAAGTATTTTCTAAAGGATTTTAGGTTTCTAAATTAACTTTACCACAAAGGGAGGGACTGCCAATGGAACTTGACTTCTCCAGCATCCACAGCTGGAAACCAGTTTCTTGTCACAACTAATTCCCTACAATGAGCTCCTCTTTAGGACAGCCCGGGGCTGAGAGCGCTGCTAATCATGCACAGGTTTGGTACTGGCAGCTTACCTGGCAATATGGGGAGTGTGCAGGTAAAAGGGCTATTTTTGCTCTCTGCCCCATATCTCTCCTCTAGCGTGGTGTGCAGGGCATAGAACTGACGATAGCGTCGGAAAATCAGGTATCTGCCACCACCTTTAACCTTTACTTCAATGACAAACATCTGAAACAGAGAAGGGGGATTCAGGCTGCTGTTCATACTTATAAATACTTACCAAAGGAAAGTGAGGCATACAACAGGAACATAAGATCAGTGCTCTGGTAGTGGGAATATTGTCCTGGGGCAGAGTGGAAAGCAAGCCTTCAGTTAAGCAACTGCAGACTCAAGTACTAGAAAATAACAAGTTAGCACCAGACAGTGTGGTGTATGTGTGGGTCCAGTTTTCCCATGGATCACATCGCTGTGGCTGCTTTCTATTACATAATCTTAAAAGGAAACCTGAAATGACTAGATGCTACTTTATGCTTACACGCCTTCCCTCAGTGACAAACAGAACATATGAGGGAGGTAAATACAAATATTTTACAGTAGAGTGCTTTGGACATCTAAATCTATAGATAGACATCTAAATCAATTGCTTTTCAGAGTTGAAGGCATTCATACTTCTTTTTGACTTTGAAGTACACAATTGCAGAAATTATGGTCTGGTAAGGCCAGAAAAAAAACCTTAGTCGCCTTACGTCTAATGCCCTCTTCCAACCACTATCTTATTTCTTTTCTCTTGCCAAAATTGCTTTGCTCTAAAGGAGGGCACGATTTCCATGCACTGACCTCTGCGTCACATTGCAGCCAGATCCTTCAGAAAACTTAAAGACAGAGCAACCAAACATCACTATATTCCAGAGTAAAACCTGCATACTGCAGTGGGAAGGGTTTATGAGCAACGTCTCCAGCAAAAGCAGCATACCCTACAGAAGTCAGACTGAGCTGGTCTTACCCAAAACCCCTCTTCAGAAAACCTCATAGTGCTTCTCCCTATTATTCCCTTCTTGTGTGCTCTTTCATGACTTATTAATATGCTACCTTCTGTGGAGATGGAAGCATCCTAACTTGCCAGTACCATCAAATAATGAAGACAACTTCTACCCCCTTTGAATTCCTTTCCCATCATCTTCACCAAAGGTACAGCACTCTAACAGGAAGTAAATCAGAAATTAGTTAAGAATTTAGAAAACAAGCAACGTTAGAGGATATCTCTGTCACATTTCACCTAGACAATAAATTTTCAGACTAAATCTGTGATGGACTAACCTCCATTGCAGAAAAAAGAAGCACTGAGAAGTTCTCTACACGGAACTATTCATGCCAAAAAGCTACTACACCAGATTAACTGCATTTTGCTTCCCACAACCAAATCAGTCACAGATGAGGACATACAAAGACAGGATAAATCTCCCTTCTTACAAAATAATTAGTAAAGCCTTTCTTCTCTTCAATATCTGCAATGTTAGCTGAAACAGGTACATCATCTGGAAGCTGGTCAAAATCACTGTGAAGCAAGAACAGAAGACTTAGGTTACTCACACTGACATTAGCCTTCAGAGGCATCTATGCCATACAAAACACAGACAACTAGGCAACATCACATTATCTAGTGTCAAAACCAAGAAGTTAGAAACTCGTGGTGTCATCCTCTTCCTCTGGAGGTCTGATCTTGAGATGTCAAGTTCTGTAAGTTCAGCACAAGTCAGTAACCATTGTGACGATTCATTAAGCCTGAAAAACATCCCTGTCATTCCGAGGCTTGCTAGAGTGGCAGGACTACAAAGACACTTGAGCTGGTAAACTTCTCCCGAGAAATGTGATCAACTGTGGATGCATCCTTAATCCTTCCCACAGCATCTAGTAGACTTGCAATAATAACTCTGCAGCAGTATCTCTTCTTCTAAGGAGATCATTATATACCATGATTTATGCTGTTATTATTACTGCATTACTGTAGGGAATAGGAAACAGTTCTGAGAAAAGAGCTTGTTGTGCTGGGTGCTGTAGAAACTGACAGCACAAAGCTAATGCCTAAAGACCTCACACTCTATGTGTAAGATTCATGCAATGTACCTTATACATATAAGAAACAACAGAAGGAGAAGCACAAACAGAAAAAAAAAAGCAGCAAAGAAAGAAAGACATAGTATTGTTCTGTATCATAACTAATGATGCCTGCACCAGCTGTCACAATGTTGTCAATTTTTCAAGAAAACTTCACAGTAAAGCAGACTCTTAAAGAGGCTTTGAAAAAAGAACAAGTAGCCTAGCAAATATTTACAGGGAGACCTCACAGTCAAAGCAGATAACCTGAAGCAAGCACAAAGATACATGTTTGAAAATGTATCAAAAATTGTGAAGGAACACATGATAGTGGGCAAAGTTAGAATAAGCTTTGCAGATCCTAGAAAGTATTGGTTTTGAAGCAAGAGGGAAGGAAGGATCCCAGCAGGAACACCTGAGGAGCAGCCATATGACCACACTCTCATGTTTCTTGTCTATATTGTCCACAAAACAAAACAGCATGGATTGGCAGGTGCTTTTTCCTTTGGGACGTTCTCCATGGTACAACATCTTTGATAAACAGAAGACAAATTCACCTTTGCATCAATCTTAAAACTCAATGTTATTAGAGCGGTATTTATATTAACACTGAAGTAAAAAGGATCAAGAACGAGGAAAAAAGGATAACAAATGATTTAGAGAGAAAGAGGAACTTTCAAAAGGATCACCTAAGAAATGCCAAGCTGACATAATGTTAAATATTCTGATAATACAAAAACCATGGCAGCTGGCTCAGTTTATTCTGCCAGCAGAATATCCCAAGTAGGGACTTCCACAATGCACAGCCCATCTGGAAGGCTGAAGTAATGATGCAAAGTCTTGCAATAGCTTGCTGTACAAGGAGAATGACATGAATCAGCACCGCCCACAACACCATAAATACTACCACTTACTGTGAAGAGGGATGTGGTTCTGGAGATCAAGAGATATAATTAGTCGTATCACAGACACTCGTATCACAAACTCCAGTAAAAGGGAAACTGTTTGCAGCTATATAGAGGACAATGACCCACTATTGTCCTAGGTGGTGAGTATTTCCCCAGGAAAAGAAGAGAGTCCACTCCAACCTAAGAAATGGTCTGCTCCACACTGAGCAGTCTAATCATTTGGAAGCTATGTTAACAAGACGATAACAAGAATCATCAAAGATGCTTGCATCCAAATTAAATTAGCAAATCGTAGCAGTTACATGAAGGCTTTTGGGGAGGTAGGAAGAGGGAGAGACACGTTACCTCTTTTCTCGCAGCTGTCGGGGAAGAGACATGGTTTTCAGCTTCTTAAATCCAGATGGCTAAGCTGAATTCCTCCACTTCTTCAGCAGTTCCTGACTGAACAGGATGAACACAGTCAAAGCAATTCTCCTTGTGTGAATCAAGACTCCTTTGCAAGGCCTCAGAGATCTTTTTTTTAATGTTTCAGTGTCAGACGATTTCTTCTGTACCTCCCCACCCCCTTGAGATTGAGGAAGTACTACAGAAAAAACAGTCATAAAGAAAGACTGTTTTGTGATGTCTGTCATGTATCGAAACTGCCACAGTTGAGAAACAAAAAGCCCAACAAAAAGCAGAAACTATGAGCTACATATTCCATTGTCCACCTCTTCACTGAAACATCTGCCTCTGTGGAAAGTCAATATGAGTGGGCTCAACAAATTCTGTTTTGCTCCAGCTAAAATGTCCCCATATACACCTCTACACTAACATTTGTAAACTAGGATGAATACTTCTGATCCCGTCTTGAGGCTCTGTGATTTCCACAAATCCTCCTTTCCATTGAACAAGAGCCAGGAGGTGGAGCTAAAGAATAAATTTTCAAGTGGGAGCAGAAAGTATGGTCAGGAGATTCAACCTTGTCAAACATATGGGTACCAGGGTATCAGGCACAGGAGATGACGAAATGAGCTTTGAAGGATGTATCAATCCAAGTAAGACATGAGTCCCTGAAAGAGCAGAGATCTTTTCAGCTTCATGTGCTCAAGACAATCCACATTTGCAACCTACAAAAACAGGGTAATTCTTCAAAAAGAATCCTGACTGCCCTGCTTTGTATACAATAGGTAGTGATATAACATTTGTATAGCATCAGTTGACAATCTTTCAAGAAGAAAATAAAAGGAAGAAAGTGATGAGGAAACTTTTATTTCCTATCACTGTGGGTAAGTTGCAGCATAGCTTATCTGCCTTAGTCAAAAGCTCTCATGTGTAGTATCTTTCCCTCCCCATTTCAGTCTTTGACTCTCTCCCATTTTCATGTTCAATAGATATTTGGTTCGTTTTCCTCCTTCCACTGTCAAGCACAAAAATTCTCATCTGAATGGAGCAAAAGTCAACCAGCATCCATCAAAATAAAACTCTATTTACAACTGTATTCATCAGCCTTGAGAGTAAAATGCAATTCACTGCTTTTTATTTAAGGAAATTCTTCACCCATCTCTTTCCTGTGGATAACTGAAGGCACCGTTATAGCATTTGAGAGGGGATATAGTGTCTCTTGATCAGAAGGGACCAGGAGACTCTACAAAATTCTGAACTGTATTTTCTGAGTGATCTGCTGCCCACACAGACTTAGCAGAGTAGTTTTAAGTGGTGACGTTGGATATAAGTATTTCCCCAGACCTTCACACTCTCCTGTGTATTCCATTTTCTTGATTAGGCCTGCTAAATGTGCAGTCCTCATGCAACGTGAAGTCAGGCTCATCATTCTCTTCCCTTTGCCTTGAGTGACAGAGACAATAAGCAAGTTTTCTAACTGCAATCCTCTTGCTTTCTCCTGACATTCAGAAGGAAATAGAAACAGATCACCTTGACCAGAACTCTTAATCACAAGATCAATATATATGAACTCATGAAAATTCAGAGGGGCCCTCCTGACACATGCAAAAATATTGTGGAAAGCACAAGAATTGTGCAAACTTTAATAGAAGTGAAAGAGAAGGGCTAGAGGGGTGCTTTTAAAGTAACTGTTTATCTTTAATACATATCATAGTTTTGATAAGAAAATCATAAAAAGGATTTTCTAATCTTTTCAAATCTCTTGGATGATATTCTAGATACAATACAGGTACATATTTTAAGAGACATAGGATATGACACAATGCAAAAATACTTGCCCATTGTTTACCTGGAGACATGGCTTTTCAAGAACAAGTCGACAGACAACCTCACAGACAAATTGTCTATGCAATTGCTTTGCCGTAAGCCAAGTAAAACAAGTTGAGAGCAGCTCCTCAATTCCACCACTCTCTACTAGAGATTACAGCCAATAATAATAATAATCTGACAGAATAATGCTGAACCTGCTAAGAAAGTTTCTGTTTCTGCAGTATTTTATTGTTCTGAACTAAACCAAAACCAAGTCCCTTTCTGATGAAAAGGCAGATTCCCACCTCAGAATAGCGGACAGCTGATTGGTTAGAGGGCTCACTGAGGCTATGAGGGACTAAGATTTGAAACACTGCTTTGCCATGTTCTTCCGTGCCAAATCAGTGCCTCAACTACCAGGTGTTTTCTCTCAGTTTCTACTATTGTGCTGCTATAGTAGAAATAGCAATTTCTGCTATTTGGGCTGAGGAAATTGGGTGGGTCTAGTCAAACCCATATTCTCTCTCTGCTCAATTTACTTTATTATTGATGAATGAAATAAATGTCCATTACAAAACTGATACCATAATGACAGTACTCAAGAGATACACCTGCACTAGGAAAGTGTCCAGTTTCATCAGCTGACATGGTCAGCTCTCAGTTTTGAGAAAACCCACCCATACACTATGGGTAGCATGGTCATTGCGGCACTATGCACCAACCTTTATCCATGTGCAAGAGAAAGCAGGCATCCAGGTGCAAGAAATACTAACAAATTAAATAATTAAAGGAGACTACTAAGAAAAACCTCAGATGACTGAATCATGACCACGTGCTGACACCATTACATACCTTTTTGCAGTTCAGCACGTACTATATTATTTTGGCCATGTATGCCTGTGAGCTGTGAAATTGTGGCCTTCTGTCTAATACACATGTTGTTAGAAAATACTTGTACAAGGACACACAGCACCTTGGAAATCTGAGAGTATCAGCTATAATCAAACAGCCAGAGCAAGCATGGAATTTTAATGGAAAATGGGAATGTAGTCCCAAATCACTAAATATACATGAACCACTAATAAAAGGTAAATCAAAGGAACATAGCAAAAATACTCAGCTGAATCAATTCTGATGACAGCACTACGTACCATGTCTACTAGAGCAGCAGCTACTGCATCATTTTGGCTGTGCATGTCTGTACACGCTAGAATAATGGCTTCTCTCTGATGCAGCTGATGTTAGAAAAGTGCTACATAGTTATGTTCAATCACCAGCCATAGAATAAATTTGTTAAGTGACAGAATAAAATGAACAAGAATAATGTTCTTAAAAGATGTCTGGTCTCATCTGTAAAGGAAATAACATTTTAACAATCACTGCAAGGAAGCTGAACATCAAATAGAAACACATACAGCAGAGTTAGATTGCAAGATACTTTCATTCATCCTCTTGTTTTCAAGGGATATGTGGAACATTTGCTTCTGTAGCATACACGTTATTAGCAGTTGAGTGTCTTCTGTGGTTGCTTGAGGCTGAGCAGCAACTGATAACACTGATTTGGGAAAAGTGATTTGGGGCTATATTCCATTTTCCATTCATATTACATATTGTACAGATTTTGCTTTTATGGTTACCCTCAGCTTTACGGTATGCTTTAATACACTTCTACAATATTTATTTTCAAATACAGTCCTGTTTAAACTCCTTATCATTACTATAAAAGCACATGAATAGTGAATTACAGCTCTGCAAAATTTTTGGACAAAAGTTACGTAAGATAACCTACTCATGTCTGCCCTGTAATCTTCAGTGCTCTTTTGCAGGTAGTACTACAAAATCCTTAGAAGAAGGCAGTTGGTCCAATGGTAAGTAACTCTCTCTCTTCAATATGTGCTTTCAGGACAGCTGAAAACAAACCCATCCAAGAAAAAAAAAAGTTGTTGAAGTCATCCCATCTTTCTGAACTTCTCAAAAAAACCCAAAGAGGACATAAGTTGAGCTGAATGGTTTTATATTCTTTGTTAGATAATGGCTCCATCCATACTGGCTGAGTGCATGGATACTCTCCCTGTCACGCATTGTGTTGGGAGGAAAAAAGGCACAGGAGTATAAATAAATAGAACTTTGGAAATTTGCTTTGATTTAAATCTGGACAGTTTCCATGGCTGCTTATTTAGGGTGCAAAGTAACTAGTAGGCGTTTGCAGAAAAGGACTATGATCATGCCCTGCTGATATAAACACAATTACAACAACCCATCATGAAATAAAGAAATTTGAAGGTTAGCATCTACACTGTTCCTGACAATGAATTTGATGGTGTCATTTCTAGAATAAATTACTATTCAACATGAAAGGGTTTTATAGAACCAAATATTAAAGAAAAGCAGCTGGTTTTTAAATGACTTTTTTCTTGGAACATCAAACTGAATCCCATAACTGAATCTTGGCTTTTTTAAACCACAATTGTTTAAGCAAAAAAAAGAATAAGTGTTGCAGGAAAAAATACACCCAAAAGTGATGTTTTTCTTTGGTTATTATCAGCTATTTTGGAAATATGCATTCAACAATATTGTCTGGGTTTTGTTAGTTCATGGTGCCACAGCCAGATCTTGCCAGCTTTTCTTATGCAGAGCAATATCACAAGCAGTATTATGATATTCCTCTTTGTGGAAAACATTCTTTCTTTACAATAAACCTGCTTCCTCTAAAAATCTTTTAAAAAGATAGGATTTCTCTCTGATATAGCAGGAATAGTTAGAGGAAGTCTTACCAGAACAGTAGTAACTTGTCATTGATGAGCAATGGGGCTTTTTGTTCTTGCACAGCTCAGATATTGATGCCCAAGACTAGGCTAAGTGAGAAAAACGGAAGCTCAGAAACAGCAACAGAACATTTTTTCATCCAGATGGCACACCACTGCCAGAATAAAAGAGGCAAATAGGGAAGAGATAGGGCAGATCTTGCCACTGCTACCATGTACAACAGATGTGGGCTGGAGGTGGACCCATATGCTCCAGTCAACTACCAATGTCAAAATCTGGTAACTGGCCATTGCAGACAAAGAAGTAGGATAGCTCCATCCAAGAACTCCTGAGAGAGCTATGCCTACAACCATTCATCCAGAAGCTTAAAACCTAGTTTTAAGCGCATAGCAGCAGTGACCTGTTGTGGCAGGAGAGTCTCTGTTTTAATCTCCTAATCATCTTGAGAGTCAAAAATCTGTCAGAGTTATTGTTACTTAAGACAAAGAAAATCCTGCTTCAACTGTTTCACAAGTTCAAAAGACCTGTCAAAATTACTGCACAAAAATTTTCACTGAACTTTCCCAAATCTCAAAATAGGGTTGGGATTTGCTAAAATTTA